CAGAGTTGGAAAACAAACTGAGATTACGGGCTGAGACCGGATCGGTTTAAGACCGGTTTGCTGCCTAAGTAGTCAGCATGAAGTACCCTAACTCTATTCTAAGACTTATAATTGTATTTATTCAGTGAGTTATTGCAAAAAAAAAAACAAAAAAATAGGAAAACGAGCTGTTGACAAGCTTTACTACTTCAGCACCTTGCATTACACAATATTTGCATAGCAATTTCACACACATGTTCCAACAACACTTCGTTATCTCTTACTTATTATTTGACTTATATAACTCAAGACAGCAATATTCACCTAGAAGGTATTACAAGGTTTGTAACAGCTGCTCATATATATCGATACTTGATTTTGCTGTCTAGGTTTTATTCATAAATTAACATATCCTAAAGCTCCAGGCTAGCGATTGTAAATAAATATTGCATTTAAATTTGAAATCGCGTTTCGGACTCGGACTCGAATTGCATGCTACAAATTATACCCTTAAAAAGTGCTTCAAACTTTCCACAGTCATATCATATGTCAAAAGTTATCCAATATTTAAAATCAAGTGCTTCTACATTCAAAATTTTAAAAGCGATTGTGGCTCGATTTTCATGTTGAATTTATACCCTCACAAAGTGGTTGTGAAGACTGATTAAAACTTTTCAGAGATATTTTCATTCCAAACTATTAAATACTCTAAACATTTGAAGACAAAAGCATGACGAAAGCAACAAAATTGATATTTGATAACGTTCTCTGGGAGAATCAGCAGACAAGTGTTTTTGAGAGTTTGCAAGTCAGCCAAAGTGGTGGAACAGAGTTTAAGTATTTTGTTTGTTTGTTCGTGTGAATCACAAATGTTTTTTTAATTAAATATTTTTAGTTAATCATATCGGCACAGACAGTACCTTAAAGGTGATTTACATTTGAATTTTATCTTTGTTTTTTTTAAGTACCTTAGTGTGTGTTTTTGTGGTTTGTTGTTTTTCCATTAAGCGCACATCGAATGCCATCAAATGCATTGAAAATTGTATACAATATTCAAATATTCAATTGAAATTGCATGCCACGCCCATTGATTGACCCATTAATTGATATTCCGTGCACTTTTTTTGATTACAATTTAAATGTGTAAAATCAACATTTGCATTTGGATTTTTGTCGATTTATGGTTGATTTTTCGTATTTGCTACGCAACTATATGTAATTTGTGCATTGCTCGTCGCTAAAATATCATCATTTAATTCATGGGTAAAAACTCGACCTTTCATTATTATAAAATATTTAAAAGCAAAAAATAATAATGCATCGAACTTAAAATTTTTGCAATTGAAATGTTAGCAAATAATTGGGACTGAAATTTTAAAAGCTAAATGTAAAAGGCAGAAAATTTTATCATAAACTACTCAATTTGTTTGGAGCTTTAAGGGAATTCTCTGCTGTGTTTCGTATTCTAATCTTTACTGTGTTGTTGTTTTGTTTGTGTAGATTACTTTTTAGGTCAAAGTCAGGGTGTGAAAAATGTGAAAATGTGATTTAAGCTATAAGCTTGTAATTATTTTTGTTTATTTTTAGAATTGAGTGGAATATTCAAATAAAAAAATATATCTAATATTATAAGCAACTTATACTTATCTATATTCCTAATAATATAGTGTATAAATCTTGTTATACTCTTTGGCACTGCTTAAGTAGACTATAATTGCATAGAAATTTTTATATATTTATATATGCATATATAGATTCGAAAGGTAATCGAATTCATATTCCATGAAAACGGAAAACGCTTCAGTTTTCTAGTGTTCTTCAGCGCTCATTGTGGACTTATCCATGACCATGACAAAGCATCGATGGCAACAAAAGTTCTTGCAACTTGACATGAGAGCCCTTAAATCAATTTTCCAGTTGCGGCTTCCACACAACTGAATGCCATCATCTCGGTTCTGTGCGGCAACTCAACATTATTCAATTGAAGCGCAAAGTTTTCAAGCCAGCTGCCAACACAAAAATGCTTCACTAATTGCTAAGCACAATGGAGCAGAATGCCTAAAAGCCAAGATTCAACATAAAGTTGCATATAGGGAGGGGAGGGAGTGCTTCGACGAGTGGCTGGTTATGTTGCTTAATTTGTTGTCGCGTCTACGACGACGGCACTTATAAATATGCAATTATGTGCTCTAACCGAACAACATTGTGCTTGTGTGATGAGACTTTTAGTAGTGTTGCCCGCAGCCGGGCGAGCGGGGGTAGCGAAGGGAAAACATGGCTGCAGCATAAACAAATCTTGTTACACAAAGCTCTTTAAATATTTAATGATGCAAACCATAAAGTGCAAGGCAGCCTCCAGTTTATTGGGCAGCCGATAACAGACAAACACAAACACACACACTCACACACACCGAGACGGGCAATAAAACACACACCACACACACACACATATACTATACGGAGACAGAGCTCAGCCTGCAGCGTGTGGAGTGCAACTAATTACAATACGGACCAGCCCCACAAAAGCTAACCCAATAGTGCAGCAGTCTCTCCCGCTCTCACTCTCTCTCTTTTTTCCTCCGTCTCTTTCTCTCTGTGGCAACTCTTGAGTTTTCCTTATGCATCCGTTGCGCGCAGACCAAGTTTTAACGCGCTTATCCCAAGGCTCCGCTGCATTTGAGTGTTGCTCTGTTTGCTTAACAAGTTTGCCCATAAAGTTCGCAGCTGCCACATGGCGGCCACTTGCTGAGGAAAACCATGTCTTTGGTTTTCGGCCTGGCCTTCATTTTCTTTGCCAGCCAGCTGCATGTAATGTCGTAAATCAGGCGTATAGCGAGTTTGCACAGTAAAAGTTCTTCGGCAACGCAAAAATAAACTAAGTATCCCTAAGATATAGCTACAATATTGAAACGCCTTTTTATCATTAAAACATTGATTTCCCATACCCTAATCTGCTTTACAAACAACTCGGAAAAGCTTTTAATTTTCACTTATTTATTTGTTTTCATTTCAAATACTGCTGGTGGGTCTTAAAATTCCATCTTTATAGCTTAAGAAACTAGTATTTTTGATTGTTTTTAAGAATGAAAATTTAAAAATAACTTTCTTATTGATTTCATATGGTTTTGGCGCTCGTTTCTAGTTTGGGGATATTCAGCTGAAGTTTAAGCAGAGTCCGCCATTTGGCGTATTAGCGACTTCCTCTGGGAGAGTGCGGAGATCTTTGGCTTTGTTTATTTGTTTGGGTTTGTTTTCGTTGTAGTATTTGTTTCTTTGCAAATATTGGAGCGAACAAAGTCGGGATGTGCCTTCTAGTTATATTACTATATATTACTATAATTTGAAAATAATCTTGGCCATTTGGTTTTTCTGAAGTCTCTGCTCTAAGCTACTGGGCATCTCCTAGTCGTGCAGTAGTTTTATTTTCTCTGATTCGCATTGCTTCATTTACAATTTTCTTTTCATTCTTTACTTTACTGCTGCGACTCCTTTTCACTCTTTCTCCTGTGGTGACTCCTTGCTCTTGAGTGAATGCAATGAAGTGCAGCAAACAAAAGCGTTTTGTATTCCACGCTTTTGTTTGTCTGCACGTGAGTGAGATTGCACATCTCCCCCCATCCCCATCCCGCCTCGTGCCCGGTCTGGTGTATATATTGGAGCTGTATATCTGGGTGAATGCACTTTGTGCTCTGTGGTGCCCACGTTTAAGGGTCCAACCACAACCTGAGGCTACACCCAGCAGTGCTTTGACTTTTGATTGCGCTCGTGCTCATAAAAATGCAAAAGCTTGATAACCCATCGTCTAAAAAGGGGTAGGGGAAAGGTAGGGGTAGGATCGAGAGTAGAGCAGAGGAGAGCAGAGTAGAGCAGAGGAGAGCAGAGGAGAGGAGAGGAGGGTGATTGGTGGTGTGCATGTGCATGTGCATGTGTCTGACCTTCCACCTTTTGCTTGGCAAGATATTTGCGCTAAAATGTAAACATTTAACGATTTGTGAGATTTTCGCAATTTTCAGTGCTTTGCGAATTGCGCCTCATTCAACCGGAACTGGAACGATTTTGGCATAATTACATTACAAGGCCCGCCGCAACGCTTCACAACAAAATGCCATAAATATTTTTTATTGTTTTCCACTCGCAAAAAAAAAAAATAGTAAAATAAATAAATAATGTCTTATGTGATTTTGCTTAACCTCGAGATACCCTGTGCTCGCAATTACTTGTAATAGCCTTTGAATGGCGTAAATAAATGTTTATTTTAATGAATGTCGTTTAAAAAGAATTCAATGGATATTAAATTTTATAGCTTTATAGTATTTATAGTATTATTGATTTAATTTTCACTTACTTCAAAGTTGCTCAATTAATATTATTTAATTGCGAATATTTAAATGAAAAATATAAATTATAGATTTATAGATTTATATATCTTATATATAATAGTTGTGACTTGTAGAAAATGTTTTATAACAATCGTCACACTAAAAACTCTAATAAATGTTCATATGGCTTCAGAAAACGGAAAATGGGAAACGGTATAAAAATTAAATATCAATTTTAGTATTCAAAATAATTAGTTCATCTGCGCAAATGATTGATACTCTCTGTGCGCATAGCCACAAAAATAGGGTATAATTTGCACACGATCTGTGAGACAGTTATTGGCTGTTGAGTGGGGGCTGACCCAAATGCGCCGCAGCTATCCGCTCGATCCCAGGGCAAACGCTATTTCATTTCCAGTGCCTCGACAAATCTGTTGACACTTTTAAGGTGCTGCGCAAAAACGCAAAAACCCCTCAACTCCTCGCGTCCGTGCCCGATATAAGTCTTTGTTAACAAAAACTCGACTGACAGATACCGAGTCTTTACCTTTCTTAAAGATTATTTTAATATCTACATTTTATCAACATGTTGAATAAATATGATCAAGAAATATAACATTGGTTGGTAAGAACTATTATATAAAAGGCAATTTATTGGGGTATTATTGAGTTATCAAGAATGTTATGCGAAATACGGCCATCTGCTAGTTATATGTCTGTATATTTGCACAACTTTATAATACTCAGCTTACCCATTGGGCATGGGTACAGGGTATATTGTTTGAAATTATCGTGAGCTAAATTTGCATACGAAATGGGAAAATGCAAGAATGCTGATGTGCTGGGCTCGCAATTGCCTGAATTACAATATGAATATGCGCTGAAAACAAAGCCAAATGCGCGTGGCTGGAATGCCAAATTGCCCGTAATAAAATACGCATACGCCTCATTGCGGCATCGATCCCAAACAATCAGTTTTTCCTTTGTTGTTCGCACTTCGATTCGTAAGCAAATGCAAAAGCCACAAACTATAAAATCAATAATTTAATCATTAAGTATATATGTGGTAAAACTATGATGCACATGGAGTTGGGTCTAAAATGAAGAAAATAAGCACAACAAATTAAATCAAATATTACCAAAGTTCACTTCGCACGTCATTGAAATTAGATATCTGTGAAAATTATATTCTGAGTTTGCTTAATATTTGTTTGAGTTTTAATTGTGCTAATACAATTAAATAATATATTTTATATAGATGTTATGAGAATGCTAATATAAAATGTTATTCAAATCAGACATTTAAAATGTCTCATATACCTCATAATTATTATAGATATTCTTTGATTAAATTTACATTATTATTATTTGTTTTCTGTTGTAAATATTTCAAATGTTCAATTCACTTTTCTCTTTTTCACCTTTTGAGCTAGTCCACTGAATAGTGTGCGCTATCATTTCGAATTGCTGCAGATACTTTCACACTTTGGCTCATGGCTTTCAGTTTCACCTGGGCTCAACGCCTTTCTCCTGGCCTGAACTTGGCTGAGCAATGCACTCGAGAGTGAGACACGCCATGTGAAAATGTGCCCACATCCGATTTTTATACACCTTTCTATTGATACAGAGTTGAATGCACCGTGAAAGCATCAAATCAATTCGATACTCTACTTTAATACTGTGTACAATTTTAATTTGCCAACTCTTTTCGCCTAATTAACTCGATTTATTTTCCTTTTTTTTTTGGTTTGTGTTTGCACCGATTCCGAGTATTTTGTGTTTAAATTTATTCATTTATTTTTAATTCTTGCTTCCTGTTTGATATTGCAGCCAAAACATTTTCTTTATTTCATTAAAGCTGTTTAATTTGTGTTTGTTTGTGGTTGCTGGTTTGTATCTAAGGTGTAAGGTGTGGGAAGGGTCAGAGGGGTCTGCATCGGGGGCAAAACTGAGACAAATTAAAATCAATTTCATTTCCGCTGAAAGTTTAAATTAAATCGAATGCGATTGACTTTAACAAGGTTGCTTGGATGGGAAATACTTGAAATGTATGTTTCAGCAATGTATATTTTACGCTTATAGTCTCTGTATTCGAAAATCTATTTCATACATGCCTTTACCATGCCTATTGCTTTAACCAATTTCATGGCCATAGGGTATTGAAAACAGATGTAAAACAAACATTGTGGCATCTGTGAATGTGGAATTGGAATTGGAATCGGAATCGGAATGTGTCGTGTTTTATTGTGGAACCGTGTTTGCGTTTGTTCGCTGGTGAATGTAAATTGTAAACCCCTGACACTGAACTTGAATGCTGTTGATTTTCATTTGCTGTGCCATTTTACAATAGTGGGCCTTTGTTTTCACTTTTGTGTCGGTTGTTAAGCATCTAATTCAAATTTATTCCACAAACTTGGGTCAGCGAAGCGTTTCAAACCATAACTGAAGGTTAAAGCATTGCATAATCGGCGTGTCTGTCTATTTAGACCGGTGTCTAGACAAGAGCTATATAGATTAATTTTATTTTTAACTTACTTTCAACTTAGTTTGAGAGAGATTCTCATCAGCGGTTTGTGCTGTCTCATCTTAAAAAAAAAAACAGGTTGCTCCAATTTAAAACACAACTGTTTTTGTTGAAGGGAAACAAAGAAACGGCTTTTCAAATATAGCACGTCTGTTCGATTCTGAGTCATTGTCACAATCGCAAATAAATTGATTAACACTAATTGAATCGCTCTTCGATCGCGTCGAGGGTTATCTTTAAAAGTGGAACTCAACGAAATGGATTATTAATCAACAGTAGCAATATTCTAGAAACCGCTAACTGATGTAGAAAATATGACTTGTTGCTCTTAATGCTGTCAATCAAACGCTGATGACACATTCTTTGAGTTTCATCATTATTCAATCGATAATATGAAATATTAAATTTATGTCGTAGATGAAAACATTTTGTTAAAACTTTCTTTCATTCAAATTTTGTCTGGTTAATAATGTACTGGTTTTTATTGGCAAAAGTTATTGGCATCAGTTGTCCGATAACATAAAGCCAGCTGATTAAAATTTGAATTTTGATATGAACAGGTGGACTTCGCTCTACAAGCGTACAAGATCTTTGGTATAACTAATCAGGTACTGTGTTCTTTTCCACTAAATTACATCACCTATTGATCTATATGCATATATGAATAAAATATGGTTGGCTATTGTTCACAATGCTTATCAGCATGTAAATAAATACATAAATTAGTAAATGTGCGATAATTATATAGCAGTCATGATTATTAGTACTATGTAATTATCATTAAATTATTTATAAATCATTTTACACATTCCGCTAAGCTACAATATCTCAATTAAAGCTTAATATACAACTAAATTCTAAAATTACAAAAAATGGCAAACATTTCAATGGAAATGCCTATCGAATGCCTTTTGAGGCGTCAATGACGCAACGTGTCGAACTTTTTTTTATATTTTGCACTCGATTCGGAATAGATTTATGCTGCCTTAAGCAACGTTAATAGTTTATAGATACATATATATATATATATATATGTATATAAATAAATGCTGCTTCAAGTGCACAATTTTGCGTGCCTGCATTTGCAAATCATCAGGCAAAATTGCTGACTGAATGCACTTGCATTTATAAATCATATTGAAAATGGGCTCTGTCGATTATACGTTTTTGTGTATGATGAATGCATTTTTGTATTTATTGCAACTTGGTCAAAGCGAAAATCATTTATGGCACTGTGACCCTCAATAAGGCAAAATTGATTTTTGTTTTGCATCTAGCTTAATCAATGCATCATTAAGTTTTGAAAATGAAAATATAGCTTCCAGACTCGACTTCCAGACACCTGGTAAATATTTGTTGAAGGTGGTAATAATAAATGTGTATAAGCTAATAACTTTTATAGTTCGTGGCTCTTTCTGACTTTTGGGTTAGAACTCTTTACTGAAGTGTATCTACTTAAATATTTATTATTCAAGGAGCGGCTAAGAGGTTTAAGTTTAATTTGTTTGTTAACACTTAAAAACAATTTTAAATATTGATGACTAATGGTTATCGTTTATTGATTGCACTTTTTGTGCAAGGTTTCTCTCGCTTTTAAGCTAAATCACAATTCAAGCTGACATTATCCAAAGTCTACGCTTGACAATAAGCCAAAAACAAAACTTATTTCCGTGAAATCAATTATTAATTTCTTTAATGCATTCTGACAAAACAAAGAGCACATTGAAAATGGCAAGCTGATCACGAATATATTAATATTCTAGAATCGAAAGAAAGGTATTTTTTAAAACGATACAAATTTAGAATTTAGATTTAGACAAACGTTAGTTTGTAGAAATACATGAAATTGAATTCAGTTCTAGTCGACAGTCAAGTATTGTACTTGTCTCGGGTTTCGTCGAATTACAACGACATCAATCAAGACACTTACAGTTATTGTTGCATATACTGATAAGGCTTGACACCTTGCACCTTATGCACACCCACACGAGTCAGCTGCCGTTGCGCCAGTTGAGCCAACGAATTGCAAATTGTTGTCGCGTACTCGTAGTTCAAATTCAATTAAATGGAACGTGCATTTGATGATAAGTCCCTGTTATTACACTAATATAACGGCGAGAGGTTATGATCTTATGCTCGTCATAATGTGCACAAATACATATCATTGGAATGGCCACTGCGCACTGGGTTCAGTAATTAAGCACCGTCGTTGAATCATAGGTGAACTGAATTAATTGTAGTTGAGCGGGTGAATAACTCATAGTAATTGTAATATGTTGCCGAGATCTAGTATCTAGCTCTACGTACAACAAAATCTAATCTATGGTTTATTAAGTTCCCTTTTGAAAATAATAATAAGACAATTGATTTTACAATTGAAACTGACTGAAAGATGACGACATGAAATCGACGGCAAATTCCTGCACAAAACCCAAAATCAAGTTGATTTCAGTAGCTTAAAAAGAAACCCAGGAATGCATTAAGTGTGATTTATTATTCCTTATTCGAATTGATAAATGCATTTTCCACAACTTCCTTATCCTTATGAACCAATTGTAATTAATTATCGGCTGGTTTGAGCATACAACAAAAATTAAAGTCTGAGTGCGGAATTCTGCAGCAGCTGCACTTTTATTTGGCATAGCTTTTTGACCCTACTTTCATTAATTTTCTCATCTTTAATGCTCAAGAATAGTGTAAAAAAAAAAAACGACAACAGATGCTGGATGTTAGATGCCAGATGTTGCCTTTGAGAACAATATTAAAGTTTCACATCTGTGACAAAAAATTCCGTGCGCTTCGCTAAATGCCGGTCTGTGTGAAGTGCTCATTAAACTATTATTAAACCAACGTTGACTGCAGCTATCACCATATAAACTATCGAGTGCAGCTCCACTATTTGGATATACCCGAATGCATGCCACAATACATACACATGTATACACATTTGCTATATAATTATCTGCACAAACTGACTGGCATTGTGTGACAGGCATCGCATGTTACTACGGATACTTCTACTGATGTAGTTGTTGCAGTTGCGATAAGTTTGCCATAATCCGTGTAAACAATGCCTCTATTGTTTAGCTTACTTAGCGGCAGACAATACAAAATGCCATAATTCATGTATTATCATATGGCTGCGAGTATTAATTATTACAAATACGTCAATAATTGTGTGGGCAGTCGCCAAAATGGATTGGCAATATCAGCAGAAGTCCATGTCAACAACTCTTTGAACATTTATCTATATCACATTTCTTTTTTATTCTATATTAAATTCAAGTCGTATAACTTGATTGTATAGCAAGGTAAATAGCTCTCAGAAAAACCTCAACTCTCCTTGGCACACAATGTAACAATTTGGCTAAAATATGTTTGCTAAGCCCTACAATAAGGGGTACTACGATGTCAAGTGTGTGTGTTTAAGTCGTGTTGTCTGCCTTGACCCGCCTTTTGTGAACTCTGCGTTGTGGGGGAGAAAAATGTCCTTCTGCTGAGGTTGTGGCAGGGTTGAATCTTAAATGTTTGCTATAATATAAATATAATATTCTACAAGTCTAAAACTATATTAGTTGATTTAGGAAATTAAAAAGTGTATGGAAATTGATAAAATAAATGATCAAAATGAGTGTTTTATAACAGTTTTCTACCAAAGCTAATTAAAACTTTTATTGCATACCAACTTTAAGTTGTGTTGAAGAGTGTCAATATTTCAATTGAGAAATTTGACAGGTAATTGAATAAGCAACCCACCCTCAACTGCAGCCACACACACACACACACACACACACACATAACCGTTATGTGGGTGCAGATGCAGATGAAGATAAAGATACAGATACAGATACAAGCTTACAGAGTCATGACAGGACGTGGTCCTGGCAAATATGTGTGTACGAACTTTTAATATGTTATTCTCGTACTGGCACCCTTGCCTTGCCAGTGGCATTTGTTTGCACTGCTGTCAGTATTTTGTAATGGCATGTGCCAAATTATGGTATGCATGTGTGTGCGAAGTACCGAGGTGTTTGTGTGTTTG